TCATGATGGTGAGGATGTGCATGGTTACGATAATGGTGCCTAACAATCTGACGCTTGATAAACGTCAGATTGTTATCGCCAGACGTGCCGGACGTCTGGTCTCGATCGCGCCACATTTTTCCGTGGGCCGCGCCCCATTTTTCGTTCGATGTCGCCCCCCATTTTTGATCACTCGGGGACCCAATTTTGCTCGACGATCCACAATGCAACGAAATGCAGATTTTCGATGCAGGGCCGGCTGCGCCCCACTTTTGGAGCTGATTTCAAAGGGCCCCATTTTTCTAGGCGCGGGGTCTCTGGGCAGGGGCGCTGCCGAAGCCGCCGCCGGCGCCGCCGCGGCCACCCGGGAGCGACGAGGAACGTTCGGCGCACATTGGCCCGGCCGCCTCGCCGCGGCCGCGCCCGCCGGGGGCGCTGCCGAAGCCGCCGCTGGCGCTGCCGCGGCCGCGCGGAACGCCAATGGAAATCTCGACGCACATTGGCCCGGCCTCCCGGCGGGATTCTGAGCGCCCCTGGCCCGAAAGTCAGAAGGCTGGGCGCTGGCCGCCGTCGGGGCCTCCGGGGGGCCCTTGGCGGGATTCTCCCGGCCCGGTGCTCGGGCCTGCAGGGTTGCCGGCCCAGCGGCGGGCCTCGGCCTCGCCGCGCCGGCGGCGGCCGAGCCCAGCCCAAGAGGATCGCGCACGAAGCCCCGCGCCCCAGAACAAAACGCCTCCGGGTGGCGGGGGGCGCGCGGGACGCCCCGCGCCGCGCGAAGCGGGGCCGCGCTGGCCAGCGGGGGCCAGGTCTGCGGCCAAACGCTCGCGCGCCGCCACCTTTCCGCCCAGCCCCGCCGAGGCCACAAGGCAGCGGGGCCTCGACCCGCTGCCGATGCGACGCGCGGTCTGGCCGGAGGGGGCCACCGTGCCCAGCGCCTCCCGCGGCCAGCCGCGTGCCTAGAGTTCCTTTCCTGGGCCGAGCAATTCCAATCGCCACCCGTCGATGAGGCCCCCGGCCGCGCGACCTTCGGCTCGGCGTCGAAGCCCCTCCCCGTCACGAGGTAGACAGAAACCGCCAGGAAACCCATTGAAACGATGGCCGAGATCCACTCGGCCACAACCCAGCCCGCGGGCAGCTTGGGCTCTGGGGGCGCGCCCCCCATGCCGAGGTGGGCTCTGCGGCCCACGGCCGCGCCGCTGGAAATGCAGCCGCGCCTGTTCGCGGCGGCCGTCCCGAGCGCGACCTTCCAGCCCTCGCGCTGACAGGCCTGCACCACAGCCCCGTAGTCCGCGGCAAGCGTGCCCGTCTCCTGCAGGAAGACCACAGGAAGACCACGTGGCCGCTCGCCTCCGCCCGCAGCCGGCGGAGCATCCCCGACCCGCCCGTAGCGTTGGCAGAGTCGAAGCGCCACTGGTCGCTCGAGCGGCGGCGGCGGGCCACGCGCGCCCTGGCGGCGTCGCAGGTCCAAGGCGCCTCAGAATTACGGCGGGGCCGCCCTGCCCGTCGGTCGCGGCCGTGGCGCCGCTCTAGCTTGAGCCTGAACCTCTCGGGAAGCGGGATCCCGATCCCGTCGAAACGCTCCGCCTCCAGGCCGCTGAGGGCGGTGCCGAAAACGCCCGCGTGTCCGACGTCCGCAGGGGGCACCCCAGCAAAAGCAACACTCGCAGCAGCGCTGTCAGCCCACCCGGTCGCGGCAGTGGCGGTCCGATCGGCCGCCTCGACCTTCGAATGGGTGACGGCCGCCAGCTTGCCGACGAGTTCAACGGCTGCGCCCTCGATGTAGCGAGCCCCCAGCCAGGCGTGGGCGAAGATGTTGCAATCCTCGGTGTGCCGCAACGGCGCGGCAGGCGCAAGGCCCCCCTGCTCCGCCAGGCGCTCCCGCTCGAGCGCATTGGAGGCCTCGCCGTGGGCGTGCTGCAGCGCCTTGTGGGCTGCCTTGGCCTCGTCGACACTGCGCCGCGCCTCGGCCAGCACAGCCTCCGCATCTTTGAAAGCCAGCTGCGACCAGTTGACTTCCGTATCCGAGCCGTCGACATTCCACATCGCCCCCTGGACTCGGTTTTTGTGGGTGGGCGGCGGCTCGGCCGGCGCAGCTGCATCAGGCGGAGGCGCCAGGCCGGCTTGCTTTGTGGCATCCTCGTCAAGCTTGCACCCGCTGGCCTCCATGAGGGCGGCGGCGGCTGCCAACGCGCTGTCGGCGCTGTCTGCCTCCGCGAAACGGACGCGCCTGGGCTGGCCTCCGCCCGCGGCCCAAGCCCCGCCCCCGTCGTCGACCTCCATCCCTGCCTCAACATCGACGGGCCCGGGCTTGACCTGGACCTTGCTCTTGGCGCGAGCCCTGGGCTTCGCTTCCTCGCCGTGGGGCGACGCCGCGGGCCCCGCGGCCGCAGGGCCTGCCGCGTTGCCCACCACCGTGCCAGCTGCGGGCGGGAGCTCCCTCCCCGCAGCTCCGGCAAGCAGTCCGCGGCGCCCAGTTCCGCCCCTCCCCGCAGGCACATACAGTCGGGGCCTTGACCTAAGGAACCCAAAATAAGGAATGGGGCCCCTTTGCTTCCACAAGTGAAACCTCGATCTCCGATCGAAGACATAAGGAAAACCCGAGGCAAGCTGTGAAACACTTAAGGAACGCGGAGCCCCTCCCCAACGAAAAGGGCTCCTCCTTCAAGACCCCGACCGTGACCAGAGCGGGGTCCGCGGCCCTGGGAAGACCGCTGCGCCCTGCCCCCGCCGCGGTGGCGGGCCGCCTCGCCCGGGCGGCGGCGTCCCGCGCCGCCGCTGGCCGCCAGGCGGAGGCGCCAAGGGGAGGCCCCCGTGCTCGGGCCGCTCTGAAGAACGACAGCGGAAACTCTCAAACTCCACGTCCGCAGACTTGAAAGCCAGAACAGCTCTTCCTCCTCCTCCTCCGCTTCCTCCTCCTCGTCATCTTCCTCCGACATCCTCCCCCCTTTTGGGGTACGACGGCCGCCCAAGCCCTTTGTTAATATGTGTGCTGCCCCACTTACCTGATCAGGGCAATCCGCCTGGGCGTCGTCTCTGGATTGGCTTCTCGCATTTCCAGTTCCGATGGCCGTCCAAGGCCTCAAGATGGTTCCAAGATGACCCAAGAAAGCGCGAAGAGAGCCCCAGGAGAGCCCCAAGACGACCTCAACAGTGCCCCCAGAGCGTCTCAACAGCGCCCCAAGGGGGAGGTATCATCAGGCGATTTGTAATGCTATCGAGAGGCGGTTCTCAGGCCATCCCTTCTCTATTCGATCTCCTTCAAGATGGCCCCATGAGAGTCCAAGTTGGCGGAAGATAGCCTCCAACATGCCTCCAAAGGGCACCAAGATGACGCTAAGAGTGGTCCAAGATCGCCCCAGGAGGGCCCATTGAGCGCCCGAGAGCGCCCCAAGAGGGCACAACCGGCGACTTGGCAGAGGAACCCAATATTACCGTCAATATAGCTCAAGATATCAGAAGATGGTTGTTGATCAGTTGATGGTGCCTTGCATATTGCAGGACAGTCCAGGACCGCCCCTGAAACGGCTCCACGTGGCAACGGAACCTTCATTGTTTGTTGAATAAAATGTCCTTTGGGCGTAAATGGTCTAGAATGGTCTCTCTTCCGACCCCTCCCTCTTCCGCTTCGGGGAGGGATTCATCACTGTTCCCAATTAGTAAACACCCCCTCCTCCGCCTGGCCGTCAGCCAACAAGGATCTATGCGGGCCCCCCCCCCAACATCCCTATCAAAAAACCATACAGGATGCACATTGCGGGGCCCACCCTGCCAACACCCTCCACAAACCCTGTCAAAAAAACGATACGATGTGCACATTGCAGCAAAATCTGGACAGTGCGCTGGCGCCCTGTGAGCACGTTGTAATTTTTTTGAAAAGAAGCCGCTTTGTGCAGGACTACCATCCGTGTCAAAAACAATGCAAGGTGCACGTTGCGACAACGTCGTTGGCATTGCGCTGGCCACCCGCGATCAGTTTGTATCGTGGTTTGACAGGGGCGGCGGTGGTGCCCGCATGATGATGCTTGCTGCGCGCAGGACCAGAACAACGCTGACGCCCCCCACATCAGCATCTGGACCATGCGGACGGGGAGGCATCACGCTTTTTTACAAGGATGGCGCACCAACCGCATGTGGAGCCCGCGGCGAGCGTCGCGCACCTGGCGTCCGCTTTGGTTCCCAGCAGCTGTCCACCCAGTGGCGACCCCTGGCTATGCCGAGACTCGGATGCCACTTATGTGGTGGGAGGGAGGGCGGGAGTGAGCGAGACGGCTTGCGTGCGGAGAGGGTGTCTTGACCCCTCCGCCTACCCCCTCCCCTGGACCTGGAGGGGGGGGGGGGGTTCGCGAGGCGTTGGAGCGTCCACGATGGTCCAAGATGGCTCTAGGAGCCAAAGATGACCTCCAAGATTGCTCAAGATGTCCCAAGATGGCTCCCCACATGCTCCAAAAAGGGACCGCTCAAGACCGTTCCGAATGGCCACGAAGTCTCCCCAGGAGGCCGCCAAGAGGCCAAAATCCTTCAAAAACCTATGAGAAATAACATATTGCTACCTTTCCGCCTTTTCGCTTCAAATGGCCTTCCGAAGCCTTAAGCCAGCTCCAAGATGGCTCCTGAGGGCCCCACCCCAAGAGAAGCCCAAGAGCGCCCCAAAACGGACCCAAGATCGCCCAAGAGCGCTCCAAGAGCGTCCCAAGAGGAGCCCAAGAGGAGATCTGCGGGGCTCCCGAGGGGGGAACGTAATTGGAGCTCCCATCTTGTCTGATCGATCTCCCCCAAGATGGCCCCAAGAGCTTCCCAAGGTTTCCGAGAGCGCCCCAAGAGGGCCCCAAGAGACGCCCAGAAGGCCCAAAGAGGCGCCGTAGAGGCCTCCAAGAGACTCCCAAGAGAACCCCACAAGAGGCTCCCCGAGGCCCCCAAGACGCTCCAAGAGGCCCCACGGACCGCCAAGAGGCCCCCAAGACGCTTAGAAAAGGCCTCCAAAAAGCTTCCAAGAGACATCCGAGGGACTCTGAGAGGCAACTCGCCTGGGCATTGTTTCTGGATGGGCTGGTAGGGATACGCGAAGCGTCAAAACTTGTTCCCCTACCATGTCGCCCACCACCTTCAGGTCGCCCGCGCCTGCACGCGTGGATCCGCAAGTGGAAGCGAGCGCTTGCAGCGCAAGCCCGAGGGCTGGCTGAAACTGGCGCGCTGACCCGGTCTGGCCAAGAAGCAGGTCCTCGCGAAACCGTAGGGGTCGGGCGGCGGGAGAAAAACCTCGTCGGCGCCGGACTCTTTGGTGGTGGCCCGCCCCATCTTGGGCAGCTCGGGTGAGGTGAACGAGTCGCCCACGAGCCGGCCCGTCAGGCCACGCTTGGCAGGGGCCTCCGCGGGAGAGCCCACATTCGAATCGACAGGTCGGATCGGACATCGGCAGTCGAAGCCGGGTCAGATCGGAATCGAAATCAGATCGAATCGAGCCAGTGGGGTCGACAGGAGCCCTGCCTCCGCGGCGAGGCTCTTCACGTCGGGCAGCTCGCTGAGAGTCGCCGACGCCGGCCCCCGAGAGCCGAGTCCGGGCGGCCTGCGGACGCGTTCGAAGGGGCCGAGGTCGCGGGAGAGGTCTGCCGTAGCCTCCCCGCTGCCATCGAGCCACTTGGGGCGCCCGAAAACCCTCCTCGTGGACCCCCCAAAGCGGTACGGAAAGCACAAGTACGGTGCCCAACAGCAATCGACCACGGCGACCGGTGTTGGACAGGAGGCCTTTTGTGCCTCATGTGGACAGCGTCCGCCGCGACACCGACAGTGAGCCCTGTTCAAAATGAACAGGCACTCGTGTTGGTCTCCGCATCCATGAGCCTATTCATTATTTCCCGGGGTAACGGCCGTTTTCGGCCCCGCCCCCCCCCCCCCAAGAAGACGTCACGTTCCGCGCCGGCGGCGTCCAGAAATGCCTCGGGATTACGAGGCCAACTGGGAGCAGCATGTAGGTGGCGATCTGCAGCAACGCGACTGTGTACGCCACAAGGCCCGCGTGCACCACAGCGCGCGTGTACACCACAGCGCATGTGTACGTACACCGCAACAGCTGTGTGCAACACAGCGCCTGTGTACACCACAGTGCTCGCGTGCACCACAGCGCCTGTGTACACCACAGCGAATGTGTCACCGCAACAACCATGTGCAACACAGCACCTGTGTACGCCACAATGCGTGCGCGCAACGCGGCGCCTGTGCACACCACAGCGCCTGTGTACACCACTGCATCCGCGTGCAACGCAGCGCTGGTGTCCACCACAGCGCGTGCGTGCACAGGGCAGGTCGAAGGAGCATCTACGTGAGGATCTGCTGCGGACAGCTAAACACCACGCCAGGGAAGTGCTGATAATAAAATGCGATGCTCTTCCCTCCTCCGTCCTCCTCCTCCTACTCTTCCTGCTCCTTCTCCTCCTCCCTCACCCTTTTCCCCAGAATGCACCGCAGAATGGTCGATTGAATCAATCCAATTGGTTCTCGGACGGCCAATTCTGCGGGAGCATCCTGGACGCAGATGGGAGGAGTTAGGATGATGCGGGAAGACTCGCGAGGACTCGTAGATTCCAGCAGCGCTTCTTTTTCTATAAGGATTCCTCTCCAAATCCGATGTAAAGACAATTGATACCTGTGAAATCCACAGGCGCTCCATTTTGCCATAAGGATCACGTCTAACATTCTGTATACAACAATGGTGCTCTTTTGCACACGGTTGCTGCGGTGTACACAGGCGCCGTGGTGTACTCAAGCGCTGTGGTGCACGCAGGCACTGTGGTGTACGCTGGTGCTGTGTCGCGCACGGCTGATATGGTGTACGCAGGCTCTGTCGTGTACACATGTGGCACACACACACACACACACTGGCGCTGGGTTGCACGCGGCTGCTGTGGTGTACATAGGCGTTGTGTGCACAGGCGCTGTGGTGCACGCAGGCACTGTAAGTTACACAGGCGCTGCTCCTCGGTCATTCCTGGGCATTCCCAAAGGCCGCGGGCGCAAAACGTGACGTCATCCCCCCCCCCCCCCCCAGATGACGGCCGTCACTGGCCCAGAATAAGAAAACTGGCTCCACTCCTTCCGTACCACTTTCGAGCGTGCCGATCCTGGGAGTCGAGAACTCCCTCGGCGCGGACGCCGGCGCCAACCCGGGGAGCTGCACGCCGGCGCACGCGGTGCCTGCCATGGCGGGCCGCCGATACGGGGGGAGCGCGGGCTGCGGCGTGGTGTCGCGAAGGGCGTTCGGCCCTTGGACCTTGAGCCGCAGCGGCCACGAAGGGAGAGGGAGAACTGGCCATCGCTCAGACGTCCATTCCCTGTGCTTTTTTCGGTTTCGTGCGTGGTTTTTCGCCCAATGATCAAGGATGCTCCTCGATGGTCCTCGCCGAAAGAAAAAAGCACACGTCCGAGCGAAGCCAAGAGAAGAACGGCTGACTGACTGAAGAGCCCTCGCACGGCGGGATCCCCGAACTGGACTAAAAGCGCATTGGATCCAGAGGCTCATGCGACCTTCATCTCGTGGGGCACGAACGCGAATTAGCGACAGCACGTCTGCAGCGAAAGCCCACGAGGTCTTGTGGTCACGGGTGGCCTGCAGGTTGAACGCTGTGGTCCACCCTGTCTGGCCCCGCCTGTTTACACGACCCCGAGAAGACCCCGAGAGGGAAAAAAGAAGGTAGTTCGACTCGGTCGTCCTTGAAGGCGTGAGCCACGCTCGCAACTGCTGGGCGGGCGCCGCCTCCCGTGGGAGACGACAGCCGAGGCAGGGGGGCCCAGGACCCAAACTGTGGCAGCCGAGCGGCAGCAGGAAGGCGAGGAGGAAGGCGCTCCAGCTAGCCGCCGCCCTCTGTCGGGGATGGACAGAGCCCCCTTTAGTAAAACGTGGTTTAGTGAAAACGCCCTTGGGCCCAAACCTGGCGGGCGCAAGCCTGGAAAATAACGGCCACGGCGCCCTCTCGAAAACCGAAAACGGACAATTCACTAATCGACGTGTCACTGTTGGGGGTTCTGTCCTCCCCCGACTCTGTCGTCGCCGTCCCCTCGCTCCCCTCCCCTCCCCCCCCTTTGGGGAGGCAGAGGCCATGGCCGCTCCGCCCCCTCGTGAGGGGGACTCTCTGCGCCCGCCGTGGCTCGTCCTGCCTCCACGCACGCCTGGTCCCCACCAGAGGGCCACGGCCCCTGGCGGGGGGGGGGGAGGGCTGCGTCGACACCGGCCCAGAGGCCACCCGCCCGACCCCTGGGGAGGCGGGGGCGGGGGGAAGGACGAGGCGGAGGGGCGAGACGTGCGAGGAGGGATGGATAAGACAAGGGAAAAGGTGAAGGCGCTTCGGGGATGGGTTCCCATCGGCAGCGGCGGCGGCAACAGCTCAACGAACTCTGCATCCCCGCGGGGATGCACGGCTGCAGAGCCACCGGGTTTTTGCCCACGGCCTGCCTGGGACACCCCCCTCATCCCTGTGGGTGAAGTGTGTGTGGGGGGGTGCGCAGGGGGACGACAGCTTCCCATACAAGGGACAAGGCGCAGGAGAGGCACGACGAGCGGGCTGGCCCCCGCAGAGGCTCGGCAGGGCCGCGCCCGCGCCCGGAGGACGCCGACGCGCGCCGGCTGCGCCGCTCCGGACCCGGCGGCCAAGCCCCGGGCCCAGGCTCGGGGTGCCCTCCTGGCCGAGCCAGGACGCCGATCCAGGCGAGGGGCCCCTGCGCCCGGGGCGGAGGGGCCCGCGCGGCGAAGAGAGCGCCCGGGGGCCCCTCCGAGAGCTGCGGTCTGCGCTCCGCCCGCGGTGCCCGCGGCGCGCCCATCTCGGGCCCAGCACCGGCACGGCCGCGGTCGGTGCGCGGCGTGCGGGCGGCGCCCCTGCAGGGGCGGTCGCCCAGCCCCTGCGGGCGTGCTCGAGGCGAGGGGGACGCGGGGGGCCGACGGGGGCCGCCCCGGGGGCCAGGGACGTCCGAGGAGGGGGGGGGTACGCCCGGGAGGGGGGGGGGGGCGCGGCGCAGATCATGGCCCGAGGCACGGGGCGTCCGAGGAGGGGGGGGGGCCAGGGCTGAGAGGCGAAGGGGGGACATGAAGCCCGGGGAGACGTCTTGGCCCGCGCCAGGGTATCCCCCCCCTATCATATAAACATCCCCCCCCTCCCCCCCTCCCACCCAGGGCTGCCTTCGTCTGGGCCCCTTCCCCCTCCCACCTGGTCACCTCACGATTCGCGCTGGCGCCGTCTACGAATCAGCCGTCCCCGGGTATCCCCAGACGGCGCCAGCGCGGATGTCCGCAGGCCCGGGAGGCCCCAGGAGGCCCCAAAAAGGAGCTCCAAAGACGACCGCACGAGCCAACGCGGCCGGGCCAGGAGTGCGAGTGACGTCCACGATCCCACGAAACTCTCCTCTCTCCTGGGGGAAGGCGGAATGGCGCAAGCCTCTCGAATACGGACACGAACGGTTGGTGTCGCGACGACTTGCGCGTTGTTTGGTTTTCAGGCACCGCGTGGATTAAACAACGCTAGACGATCGCGGGTTCTGATCGTGCAGGATCGCTCGACATCGGCCGGCTCGGGGACACTAATGGCCTTCAACCTTGGACGCCCCCGTTGGAGCCGCCGCCGCGTCAACACGACATGAACGAGGAGGATGGGGGTTGGAGGACGAGGAGGAGGAGGAGGAGGAGGAGGAGGAGGAGGAGGAGGAGGAGGAGGAGGAGGGTGGGAGGTGGAGGAGATAGCAGGAGCGAGGGGGAACAAGGAAGGAGGAAGAAGGAACGCTGGACCGGATGCCGCCCTGCTTAGCGACGATGTGTCGCCCGCGTCCACGGGCATGCATTCCCCTCCCCCCCCTCCCGTGGGTCCCTGAGAGCTGGACGCCTCCCTGGCGCTCTCCAGGGCTTCCAAGATACCCGAGATGGCTTCCGAGACGGCCCAAACAGGCCACCAAGGCCGCCAAGATGGCTCAAAATGCATCCAAAACGACTTCAGAAGATGGTCCCAGGACAGCCCAAGACGGCACAATAAGACGTCCAAGCGGATCCGATTCTCAATAGGACCCAGGAGGCCGAAATCTGGTTCGCCTTTGCGGACTTCCGTCGGCTCAAGACGGCCCCAGCGACCTCCAAGATAGCCCCCAGATGGCCCCAAGACGGCCAAAGAGGGCCATTGCCCAGGACGGCCTAGAGAGCCCCAAGCTGGCCAAAAAGGGCCTCTTGAAGGGGGGTCCTAGGACAGCCTGCGAAGGCTCCTAGACGGCCCTAGACCCCGCGACGGCCCCAAGAGACCCCCATCGACGACCAAGGCGGCCGCAAGACGGCCCATGAGAGCCCCAAGACGTCCCAAGAAAGCCCCACGACAGCCCCAAAGGGCCTCAAGGGACCCAAGACTGCCCGCATGAGCCCCAGACAGCCCCAACACGGTCCAAAAGGAGCTCCATAAGCGCTCCTCAAGAGAAGCGAAGGCAAAACGTGGCGCGTGTGTCCGACTTCCAGAATGCAGGGCTGGCACAGTGGGTGGACTTGCTAGAGTCAGCCGGATATCGCCACGGCCCAAAACAATCGCCCTCGCAAGGAACACATCCTGCAATCGCCATATCGCCCGCGAGATGGGCCCACCCCTACATGACAATGACCATGAGCGGAGCGAGTGATGTCTTCCGTACATTCCATTGTGCGACAGTGGCACGTCCCAGCGCCACCGAGGCTTCATTCGAACCACTCGCCCTCGCCGCGATCTCTGACGTCACCCGCTGCCAACCCCATCCTTCTCCACACCCTCTTCGTTCCAACCCATGCGTCGTGTTCTTCACGCTTGCGATGTCGCCAGCGCAACCCAAGTCTGTGTCCCAAGCGGAAATACCGTCTAGAAGACGGAGCAGGCTGATGAACAGACGCGCCGGCACTAGAGGAGCACATCAGGCTAACATAACTGCTGCAGACGACGAAAGGAGGAGAAGACCTGAAACAACAGGACAAAGGATGAGCGCCGCAATGTGCAGTAAAAACCGCACGTGAGACGGACGCACGCAAAATTGCGTTCGAGACTGACGACCATTGGCCGTTCAGTGAGCGAGCGAAGGCTCTCTCGCGCGACCCGACTTGCTCTGCTGTGGGAGCTCTTTGGGAACCCTCCCGAGCCGCTTGGGGTGGGCCAGAAGGGCCTCGGAAGGGCCCCAGGACGACCCGACAAAGGCCCCGAGGGCCCCCGAGAACAGCGAACAGCAAAATACGCACGCGCTCTCTCGCGCGACTTCACCCGCACTGCCGTGGAAACCCTCTGGGGGCCTTCCCGGGCCGCGCGGGAGGGGCCCAACAGGGGCCTCGGGAGGGCCCCGGGGGGGCCCCCGCGGGGGCTCCGGGGGGCCTCCAAGAGCGGAGACGAGCAAGTCACCCGAGCGCTTTTTTCGCGCGAGTTCACTTGCAGTGCTGTGGGAGCGCTACTTGAACGGTCCGGCAATAGCGACTGCAGGCGGCCCACCGCCATCTCGCGCGAACAAACTCAAACTCCAAGAAAGCACCAAAACAACTCTGAGCCAAAACCTGCGAACATCTCCCCCCCCAAACAAAAAAAACGTTAAAACAAACTAAACCCCAACCTGCGAAAATCTCCCCCCAGAAAAACGGTGAAACATCTCTAAGCCGAAACCTGGGGAAATCTCGAACCCTACAACAAATCACAAAAAACTGCAAGCCAAAACCTGGGAAGAACTCGAACCAAACACAACTTGAAACCGAACCAAACAACTATAAAAGAAACTCGAAACGATTACAAACTATACATTAAAAACAAACAACTCTAAACGCCTGAAAGTCCGGTAACAAACACGTGTTAAACATGATTGCTTAAAGACCCTCTGAACAATTCTGGCCGATTGACAAACTCTGACACAAAACACGGGAACACAAAACACATAAGAAAACTCTAAATGCAAACCCCAGCGGCCTCGGAAACTCAAAACAAAACTTAGAGCAACATATAAACACATACTGCCGTTTTCTGTTCAGTTTTCAAGCGCGCATCTGTTTCTCGATTTCTCTGCTTCAAGTTTTTCCCCTGGAGTTTCGGTTTCAAATTTTGGGGCGGATTCAGATTCCCCAGGCTTGGGCTTAAAGATTACGTTCAAGTTGTTTGTTTGGTTTTGCGATTTTCACAAGTTTGGGTTTCGATGTTTGTTCAATGTTTTTGTTGGGTTTGAGTTTCTGGTTGAAAATGTCCCGAAGATTTTGGCCGGTTTTCTCGGTGGACCTCCTGTCACTGCCGAACCTAATACTGGAGCCCTCCCAGACCGCGCGGGAGTAGCCCGGAGGGGGCCTCGGAAGAGCACGAAAACAACC